AATACGACAGCGCCGCCGGCGACCACAGCCGACCAGAGCCGACCAGAGCCGACAACGCAACCGCCAGACCCTCTACCGGAGCGAGATCCATTGTAATTAAAGGCTTACGCCTGACAGCCGGGCGCCGGCGCACTTGGGTAAGAGAGTTCTGGGTCGAGGCGGTAGGTGTCGCTCGCGGTGTTTGCGGGGTGTGGTGTCGGTGAGGGACCCTCCATGTTTCCATGGAGTCTTCCACGGAGAAGACGGGGGCCGGGGTTTGGGGCAGCTATCCGTATCGCCTATTTCGTATCGCCAGAACAAAACCGGAGCTCGATCCTGTTTCGGGCAACCCCACTTCGACAGCAACGGCTGCACGACTCCGAGAGGAAAGAAAAAAGGATCGAATGTGCTTTTCCTTGTGCTTTTTCATGTGAATGTGGAATGCAGCTGTCTTGTGATGTGCGCTTTCGTGTCTTTCTTGCATGTGCGACGCATTTCGCGCCAAGACGCAGTAAACCACACACAGACAAACAATTACAAACCAAGCGTGCCAGAACAGAGGTTTGCGCGGGGCCTGGGACATGGGGCATCCCTGCCGTTTTGTGTTCTTGTGTATGTGGAATGCAGCTGTCTTGCGGTGTGCGCTTTCGTACTTTTGGAGCACGTGCGACACATTTCGGAGTAAGACGCAGTAAACCACAGACAGACAAACAACGACAAATAAAGCGTGCCAGTGCAGAGGTTTGCGCGCGGGCTGGGACACGGGGCATCCCAGCAGCATCCTCCAAACTGGAGGAGGCTGACTGCCCTGGCTTCTTCTCCGAAAAGAAGCCGAAAGTCGGGAGAGCTGTTGCAACCGAAAACTCGTCCGCCATCTCGCTCCTCCCTCCGCTCGCGTACTAGTGCCCCAGCGTCGACTACGTGTGAAAATCTTACACCCAGGTTGGGTCGCCTGTCTCTGTTGTCTCTTTCTCCGTCTCGGTCGGCCCCGTGTTGACCTATGTTGGCCCTACGTGGATCCATCTTGTTGGCTATGTTGAGCAGATGTTGGGCACATATTGATCCTATGTTGAGCACGTTAGGCCTATGTTGGCCTAGGTTGGGCCTATGTTGGGCCTATGTTGGCGTCCGTTGGCCCCAAGTTGGTCTATGTTGGCCCTATGTTGAGCCATCTTGGAGGCTATGTTGGCCATATGTTGGGAATATGTTGGCTATCTTGGGCCTATGTTAGGCGATCTATGTTGAAAAAATCTTCCGATACAACTTTTGACGATTTTTTCCTTCCCGCAAACCAAAAACACTGAAAAAACCTACGTTTTTTTTGACATCGCCAAGCTGATATTCTCGGCTGCCGAGGGGCCCGAAACCCTGTAAAGGGATATGTTGGCTGCACGTCAGGCCTATGTTGGCCTAGGTTGGGCCTATGTTGGCGTCTGTTGGCCCCAAGTTGGCCTATGTTGGCCCTATGTTGAGCCATCTTGGAGGCTATGTTGGGCATATGTTGGGGATATGTTGGCTATCTTGGGCCTATGTCGGGGATATGTTAGGCGATTTATGTTGAAAAAATCTTCCGATACAACTTTTTACGATTTTTTCCTTCCCGCAAAGCAAAAACCATGAAAAAACCTAGGTTTTTCGACATCGCCAAGATGAAATTCTCGGCTGCCGAGGGGCCCGAAACCCTGTAAAACACAGTGTTTTTTATACTTCACACACACGATACACTGTAAATTACAGGGGCATCAGTTGACAGGAAGTGACCTGGGGGTCCCCCCGTTTTGGGACCGAGGGTCGGCGGCAGCCACGGCCAGCGTCTATAACCTTCGGTTACCACCGAAGGCCCCCCGGGCAGGGCACGGGCTTCGTGGCCGGCGCCCGGATTTACAATACGACAGCGCCGCCGGCGACCACAGCCGACCAGAGCCGACCAGAGCCGACAACGCAACCACCAGACCCTCTAACGGAGCGAGATCTATTGCAATTTCCAATACGACAGCGCCGCCGGCGACCACAGCCGACCAGAGCCGGCAACGCAACCACCAGACCCTCTACCGGAGCGAGATCTATTGCAATTCCCAATACGACAGCGCCGCCGGCGGCCACAGCCGACCAGAGCCGACCAGAGCCGACAACGCAACCACCAGACCCTCTAACGGAGCCAGATCTATTGCGATTTCCAATAAGACAGCGCCGCCGGCGAGAATATAGATATATATATATATACATAAAAGCCTAAAGCAATTGAACCGAATGACAAAGCCATTTTCTACGGCATATGTTTTTCCGTTTCAGGTTTATAGATCGCTAAGGATATTTAAATGCCAAATACACCGCCAGAGGAGTCGTCAAATAGCATGCCAGATAGAATGCCAGACAGACATGCGAGAAAGAATGCCAGATAGAATGGCAGCTAGCCTTGCCAGAAAGAAGGCCAGACAAAACGACAGAAAGACCGCCACACAAAATGGCAGATACCACAAGGAATGCCAGATAGAATGCCAGGAGGAATGCAGATAGGACGGCCGGAGAGGAGACCAGAAGAAAGGCCAGAGAGCATGCCAGAGAGAATGCCAGATCGAACGCCAGAAGAGTTGCCACATAGAATGTCACGGCGGGGATCACTGGAAGTTGTTCGGTTATTTTTTGCCATGCCCGCTCCGCCAGGCGGCGGCGCTGATGTCCAACCGCTCGAAGTGGACGAGCGAACTCGCCAAGAACCTCGAGCGGCTGCCAGAGGGGGTCCGCGACTTTGTGCGATCCCCGGAATCAGACACGGCCCTCTTGGCGGCCTTACTTGGATGCCTGGCAAAGGAGGGCCAAACGCCGACCGCGGCAGATCCGCTCGGTGGCGGCCTGCTGCAGCCGACCGAGAAGCCAGCTGCGGCGAGTGCCGAGGATCCGCTGGGCCTGGGCCTGTTCGGCCGAAAGCGGCCAGCCGAGGAGAAGCTGTTCGGCCAGGGTGCGAAGAGCAAAGCCGCGAAGGCGGCCCCGGTCCTGACGCTGCTGCAGCAGCTGAAAAAAGAGCAGCAGGAAGGCCTGGAAAAGTTTTTGGCCATGCTGGAGAAGGGCGAGGTGACTTCGAAGCCGCCGAAGATCCTGCCCTGGACCCTGCATGGAGGACCCGGGCAGGGCAGGCCTGGTGCAAATTGGTGCAGCCCTCACGGACGAGGTCCTGGCGGCGGCAATGGTGCTTGACACCAGTCAGAAGCAGGTCTCCGACCGGGAAGAAACCAAGCGGGCAATCCAGGTGCTTCTTCAGCACTGCAGCAGTGAAGAGCTCGTGACACAGTGGCAGCGGGCAGCCATTTACAGTGCGTCCCTCTATACGCGTACTCCATGCAAGCACTGGAGGCACCGGAGTGCTCGTTGTTGTCGGAAACCCCTTGTCCTTTTTTCATGTTTCTTTTTACAGCTCTCAGCGACGGGCCGAGCGGGCGAATATATGTCCCAGGGTTGTGACTTTTTTCCATATATTCCGGGGACCAGAGCCGACCAGAGCCGACAACGCAACCACCAGACCCTCTAACGGTAACGGAGTCAATGAGTCAGTGGTGTCAGATGAGTGGTGTGTGATGAGTGGTGTGTGGTGAGTGGTGTGTGATGAGTAGTGTAAGATGAGTGGTGTGAGATAAGTGGTGTGTGATGAGTGGTGTGTGGTGAGTGGTAATTGGTGAGTGATGTGTGATGAGTGGTGTGAGAGATGAGTGGTGTGAGAGATGAGTGGT